TCACATCCTCTCTAGTTCTTCCTTCAGGGTACTTCTCCAGCTTCTCATACTCCTTCTTCCTGATGTTGCTGTCACTTGGCACTGATACATCTATCATCACTGTCTTCTGGTCCTTGTCTACTATCACATCTGGTTGATTAACCAGACAAGAGACATACATACATACATACATAGTGATGGGTTCTGTAAAATACAGACACATTTAAACAAAGAGGAATAGCAATGCTCAGCTTGCCCCCCAAAATGGGTGGAGTTGCTTTGCTTTTGATGTGCAGGTGTTCACAGTCCTTTTCTCTTGCCAAGGTTCTAAGGAGCCAATTCAACAACTGTGCCTGATCAGAAAGGACTGGGAGTAAAGGATGACCTTAGACATACCCAACTTCCATGTCTACTAAGCAGACAGTATTTTGCACACAGTGATGCAATAGAAGTACTATAGCTTATTGCTTTTCTGCCTTGGGATTGTCTTGGTCTAGCTTAATTTTCCCGACAAAATGGAGATTTATTGAGACAAGAGGCTACAAATACAATTCCTTGTTGAACTTTTCTACTTAACTTTTATTCATTGTGCATGTTTCAAAATCAGTAAATAATTATTTGCATTGACTCAGAATTCATACTATGACACATTACTCCTTCACAGAAGCTATGAAAGAAATTCTTTGCTTGTTTTAAATTATAGGATTTTCATTGTTTTTATTTTCATAAGCCACAGGTATGATGGATGAATGCTTTGCCTAATATAGGTGGCCAAATGAGCATTTAATCTCGTTTTAAAGCCTATTTCTCTTGCTAGAATGCCACAGCTTACCATATCAATCGTACTTGATGCATACAGCCTCTAGAATTTTAATATCAGGGGAGCCCAACTTCTTGGTTCAACATTCTGTAACAAAAATTATCCTTTTTTTCATTATGGTATTTGGATGCTATCAAGAGTATCTCTTTGATGTTTGCTTTGAATTTAAGGTCTGTTTTTTTTTTTTTTTAAGGGAAGTCATAAAGTATAATTTATAAACTCAGAAATAAACAAATGATGCCAAATGGAAATGTATTAAGGTCTGTTTTTTTTTTTTTAAGGGAAGTCATAAAGTATAATTTATAAACTCAGAAATAAACAAATGATGCCAAATGGAAATGTACTAGATTCATCCATCCTTCAGACCCCTTCAGTCACAATTAGCTTCTTAATTCAGGAGGTATTGGCCCCAGTCCAACTTTGCACTCTGCCTTTCTGTCCCTGTACTATCCTCCATGAGTAGCAGATTCAGGTTTTTCCCAATTTGCCTGCACTGCAGCACAAATGACAAAATTTCCATTTCGTGATCTGTGAGTCCAGAGCCCCATAGGGCTTGGGCACAGGCCATTTTTCTATTCTAGGGAATTCCTATCTCACCCTGCCCTCTTTTATTGTAAATCTAATTTTAAACCTTGTAATCTATTTCACATTCCTTATGAAAACTATCCAGTCTTAATTTTTTAACACAGCAGTTCATATGCACCCACTTCTAAGACTCAAGTAGCATGTACTGAATTTTTGCCTTGTCTCACCTTCTACCTTCTGGGCTCAAGTGACCTAACCCTCTTTCTCTACCCTATGTACCCAGGGTGCAAAACTCCAGGCTCTAAAACCATAGAGTCACAGTATTACAGCTTGCAATAGGGATTCATATGCAGGATGAGTGACACTTGACAGCGAGTCAAGTTTCCTGTCATACCAGATTTTTTTTTTTTGTAAACCACCCAACATGTACTGAAAACCTGGGCACTAGCAATTTTTTTGTGAGTCATTGAAGGGAGGGTAAAAGGATTTTTGTTATGCCAGGAGCTGCCGTAACTCAGGGGAGGGCAATGAAATTACACTTTTCCCCTCTTTTATTGGGTGGCTGGAAGGAGCAATAATTGGTTTATGGTGTTCCCTGCGTGCTAAGTTCCAATGTCAACAAGATTGATGATGGTCATACAACCGATTTCAAAATGCTTTGGATGGAGCGCGAAGTGGAAACAGAGCTATGTGGAAGTGCCCAAAAGCTTATCCTCTTACCAGCTGCATCTTTCTGGTACACAGTGTTGTCTATCTTTCTTGCTCTCTAGCTGAAAATCAATGAAGGATATTATATGAAGTTCTCAACTTGCACTAACTCTTATGATTTTTAACTAATCAAGTGCAGTGCATTTTGGTTCTGACACACTGCTTCTAATTAAATCCAGCAAGAACCTTAGTTCCCGTTAATTTATTTGTCATCAAGAATCTCTGCCACTTGGGTAATCAATTTTGATAAAATAAAATTAAAAATATTTAGTTGTGCATCTAACTGTGAGAAAACTGGACAGAGTTGAATTTGCCTCTATGCATGTTTAACCACTCAAAAAATATGTCAGTAGAGATCTTCTCAAGAATATATTTATTTATTTTTTATTTATATTTCAAATTTAGATACCGCCCATCTCACAAAAAAGTGACTCTGGGCGGTTCACAATGAAGCAGCAATAAATTATTAATTAAAATAGAAAAAAACAATATGAAATACAATAAAAATAGAATAAAAACCAAACACATACACAAAAATATCTTCCAAGATGTTGATGATCAGTAAGATGTTAACATATGGGAGCATCTTCAAGGTGCTAGCCACCCCCAGAGTTGGTTGGCCCTTTTTTTGCCCCATGCCAGGTGGCAGAAATGTATCTTGGAAGGAAGGGAGGGAAGGCTGTTTGCCTACTTCTTTTCAAGCTCTGTTTATTTCATTTGATTGAACATGCCTATGGAATTCTTTTTGTAAGTTGGAATGGTAGATATCCCAGGAAATTCTACTATGTAGCTTGCATTAATAGGGTGCTACAGAGATAGCTCGTCAGCTGGTATACTTACCTTACTATGAATGCTTATAAAGTATTTAGGTGTCTAGATTATAGTACACAATCCTTTTTAGGTTTCATTGTCCATTCCAAAGTTTTAGTCAAATTTAGTTCAAAATTCCAGAGCGCAACCTGAAATTCTGACCTCTGCTGGAGCAGCACTGGAGGAAGACGAAGAGTAAATCCAACCAAACATGAGCGGGAGCCCATATTTGGGTCCATATTTGGGCAATAAGGACAACCATACTGGTTATATGTCTGCCTTTACTGACTCCCCTGATAGGCATCCAGCAACCCCATTTAGGGTGACTTGCTTATGGGATGCTTTGGGGTTTGACGCTCTCACCCCTTGTTTAGCATCTACATGAAACCATTGGGTAAGTTCATCTGTCAGTCTGGGGTTCAGTGTCATCGGTATGAGTGGTACATCTCAATCCTGGGCTGTGCAGGTGATGCAGTCAATGCACTGACCCGGTGTCTGAAGGCTGCTCAGGTCTTGATGGGGAAGAACAGGCTTCAGCTCAATCCTGACAAGACTGAGTGGCTGTGGCTGTTGGGCCCCCTGGGTCACTTGTTATTAACTGGCTTCCAGGCAAAAGTCAAGATGCTGGTCATTACCTATAAACCCTTTATGGCATAGGGCCTGGTTATTTAAGGGACTGCCTGTCTCCAGTTATTTCTGTCCGTTCATTGTGTTCAGGCAGAGTGGGTGTGCTCCAGGTACCCTCAATTTTATGTCATTTTGTGGAACCGAGGAAGTGTGACTTCTTTGTCGCAGTCCCTGCTGCCTGGAAGAGCATCCCCCCAGAGGTACACATGGCTCCCACTCTCCAAAACTTCCAGAAGTCCCTTAGGACCTGGCTCTGTTCCCAGGCCTGGGAGTTACAGTGTTTGTGGAGTTTCTGTCGAGTCTTTTTTCTGGTTATCGGGAATGCTGCTTTAGTCTGGGCAGTCATGTTGTTTTAGCTGTCTTTTTATGTCCTGGCTATATTGTTAGCCATCCAGAGTCTTTCTGGAGTCAGGCAACCTTAAACAAATCTAATAAATAAATAAAATATTGGCAAGTCCCAGTAGAACTGACTTGCTGTGGATAATTAACAGGCAACTGCTTAGGAGAAGCTTGTGTATAAATCTGACAGATGTTCAACTGGCTATGCAAACTATCCCTGAACGTTTTAGTACCAAGAGACAATACTTAAGTATCTAAAAACTCACAGCTCAAATAAGTTCAGAAAAAGCTAGAAGAACATTTCACATAGAAAATCAAACAAAGAGGTTAGAGCATGGTAAAACTCTAGTTTTAGAGAAAGACGAAAATATGTTTTATCTCTAGTTCTCATTGCTAAAAGTAATTTTCTGTGTGAGAAAATGAAAAATATATATATATATATATATCGATGCTACGTGAGAGTTATTCTGGCTGAGGGCTTTAGCAAAGAATTTTGCTGAGCTGACAGTTTCCTTTTATTAAATGAAGCAACGCACCCCATAGGCTGATCTGGTGCGGCTGCTAATTTTAAACTGCTCCGTCTTGCAATGGGATCAGCAAACTCCAAACAGGGATGAATAAGCAGGGTGGATTATTGGCTTGTTTTTTCAGAGAAGAGTAAAGCAAAAAGGGAAGATTCTTTTTATAGCAAAAGAAAGCCTCAGGGAGTTCTCAGCACATCTTTCAACTGCTGCAACACACTATTTTTTTAATTAAGAGACCTGAGAGACAGGCATTTTAATTACTTTTCAGTTTTATATCCACAGAAACACAGCGGAGTGTATGCAGAGAGGGAATCTACAAACAAAAATGAATTAGAGATGAGCTGGCTGTGGCAAATGAGTCTTCCAGGCATGCTGATCTTTTCTGAACCAGCCAACTGGTTTAAGCAATGTTCCCAAACACAATGTCACATTGCTGATTAAATAATAATGTATCTGGTGCCACGATAAAGACTAAGGTAGTTATTATAACATAAGTATCTTCATTGGTCAAGGGGGTATTGTCTGTGGAAGATAAGTCCATCAAAGGTGACAGAGGTCTCCTTGTTGGTTTTCCTCCATCATTCCACCACGGGTATCCTTCTGGAAACACTGCAGTTCTGGACTGTAAAATAGGGAGCGAGGTGTCAAACGACAATGCAAGAAGGGTAACAAGTATTGTCATCATTCCTACTGCAAGGTCACTAAATAATGCAAAGAAGGTAGAAGTTCCAGAAAACAGGTTCTTTATTTGTATAGCAACAGCTGTACTAAACAAATATCCACAGCTTCTGAAAGTGTTGCTGCTTGCATTCTTCTACTTTTGCCATTTTCCTTTTTTTTTCTTCAACAAAATTAGACACGTTTTGCTGTTTAAAAAGTAACCCAACTCCCCCAAATCCAAAATGGGAAAAACAATTTGGTCCTGCTCTCATATGACATCACCATGCCTTCTCTAGTTTCTTAAAGTTGTCTGGCCGTGATATGTGGAACAGCCCTTAATATTTGCTTAGACACATGGAAACTACCCTCACACATAAAAATACGCAAGTATAACTTTGTGATCCATAGGCAACTGAGCAAAAAGGAAGACCAGTTATAATAAAAACCACATCTAATAATAAGAATTACATGCAATTAATAGTAAGTTGGTTACGTTCTTGGACTATGATTAGAAAGATCTAGGTCATGTCCACCCTTGGCCACGGAGACTCAATCGGTGATTGAGTCATACTCTGTCTTTCTAGTCCAATATACTTCACAGGGTTCTGGCTGTGCGGGAAAAATAGTTGTACACATTGCTTTGAACTCCTAGAGGAAATGTAGGATATAGAATAAATCAAATCACATCAACCAATAATATTGCAGAATTATGTATGCCCTTAATAAAGAAAGCTTTATTTGTGAGAGGAAGGGTAATATATCCAAAGCACCAA